GGCTTGAGCCACCGCGCCCGGCCTATTTATTTATTTTTTAAAGACGGGGTTTCACCATGTTGGTCAGGCTGGCCTTGAACTCCCGACCTCAGGTAATCCACCCACCTTGGCGTCCAAAGTGCTTGGATTACAGGCGTGGGCCACCACGCCCGGCCTGAATAGGATTTATATGCCTCCTTCTTAAATGACTTTGTGAGGGTTCCCAGAAAGACCCTGAATCTCTTGTAACCTGAGAGTCTATTCCTGGCATTGTAATCTTTTGATGAGACATTCCTGCTACTTCCAAACCTTTTGCTGTGAATGCATGAGATAAGATTTAGAATATTATTCCTTAAATAAACTCATCACAAGGTATGTAACTCATATTCACTCTTCATCCTTTCAGTATCACATTTCACCCTACTCAGTACAACCTATTATTAGAAATAGAAATAGAGTGCACTTACTTCTTGATAAATATAAACTGGAAAAGGATCTCTCCCTATTGTTGTTGCTGCTTTGCTGGTGTGTTCATGGGTACCAGTTTCATTATTTAGGTTTTTGTATAAGATCAGTTTCCACCAGGCACAGTGACTCATGCCTGTAATCCTAGCACTTTGGGAGGCCAAGCCTGGCAGATTGCTTGAGCCTGGAAGTTTGAGAGCAGCCTTGGCAACATAGCAAAACCCCATCTATACAAAAAAAAATATGAAAATTAGCCAAGCATAGTGTCACATGCCTGTAACCTCAGCTACCTGGGAGGCTGAGGGGGAAGGATCAATTGAGTCAGGGAGGCAGAGGTTACAGTGAACAGAGATGAATCCACTGCACTCAAGCATGGATGCCACAGCCAGATTAAAAAAAAAAAAAAAAAAACGATTTCCTCCAGAGTGCTGTTAAAAAACCTACTCCAAGTCTGCTTTATTTTTATTTTATTTTGTTTGTGATCTGCCAGCGTTGGCCTCCCAAAGTGCAGGAATTACAGGCATGAGCCACCAGACCTGGCCTAAGACAAAATCTTTTTATAATTCTAGCTGAGTATGAAAATTTGAAGTCAATATATGAATCTAACTTCAGTAATTCCCTTAGGTCTATTTATATCACTCTTTGTAATTATGGGGAAACTTAATCTTTTTTTTTTGAGACAGAGTATCGCTTTGTCACCAGGCACCAGGCTGGAGTGCAGTGGTGCGATCTCAGCTTACTACAAACTCCCCCTCCCAGGTTCAAGCAATTCTCCTGCCTCAGCCTCCCGAGTAGCTGGGACTACAGGCGTGCGCCACCACACCCAACTAATTTTTTGTATTTTTAGTAGAGATGGAGTTTCACCATGTTGGCCAGGATGGTCTCAATCTCTTGACGTTGTGATCCATCCACCCCAGCATCCCAAAGTGCTGGGATTACAGGTGTAAGCCACCGTGCCCGGCCTGGAAACTTAATCTTAATTGGATTTATGACATTGGAGTAATTACCCAGGTTCATTATATGTAGAATGAGAGAGTTAGACCATCAAGATTCTTTCCAGTTTTTAGTTTCTCTGTCAGTATGATCTTAGGGATAGGCCTGATTGTCATATCTTGAAACTTGGCCACAGTGCGTTAGTGAGAGCCTGGAAAGTGGGGTATAGGTAATGACATATAGTAGCAGGGTAATAGAATGTCTTAAGAGTAAATAGTTGGCTGGGCGTGGTGGCTCATGCCTGTAATCCCAGCACTTTGGGAGGCCGAGGCAGGCGGATCACCTGAGGTTGAGAGTTTGAGACCAGCCTGA